ATAGTGCCGCACTTGCTTCTCTATTTATCATATGACAGAAATATTTATTAATTTCAGAATTGTGTGACTAGTTGCATTGTCTCCCAAGCATACATCTACACCATCCATTTTTATTCATATAAATAAATAAAAGAAATTATAATCTCATATAAAATAATAAAATAGATTATATTCATTAATACACAAGAAACAACATTATAATAAATAAAAACCAAAAGCCAATACCTAAAATTCAATTAGTAAATAAAAACAAAGCATCTCTTAATTATTATTGCTGAATCAGTTTTTTTCTTCGTCAATGAGAAAATCAGAAAGATCAAGGTGAGTGGCATCACCAATATCAAAGTCACCTTCTCCACCTTCATATATCATATTTGTTTCCATATTCTTTCCCTTTTGTTTCACTGATTGTTGATACAGTGCGATAAGATGCTTTGGTGTACGGCACGTACGAGGCCAGTGGTCTTTACTTCCACATCGGGAACATTCATTTGTTTGTTTGTTTGTTACCATTTTATTTTTCCACTTCTGGTGAGAGTTAGAGTTCTTAAAATAAACTCCTCGGCCTCGAAGTTGACCATATCCACGACCACGTGTATATCCACGACCATGTCAACGACCATGACCATGAGGATAACCATTTTTGCGGTCAGTGTTGTTATGTTCAGTCACATACGTTTCAGGTAATGGAGCAGAATCAGTTGGGCGTAGTACGTGATTTTTTTTTATCAAAATCTCATTGTTTTGCTCAGCCACAAGGAGACAAGATATAAGTTGGGAATACTTTTGGAATCCTTTTTCACGGTATTGTGCCTATAGAACAATATTATTTGCATGAAAAGGTAGAGAATGTCTTCTCTAACTTATCAACTTCCGTGATTTTCTCTCCACATAACTCCAATTTGGAGGTAACTTTGAACAAGACTGAGTTGTAATACTTACAAACTTGAAGTATTGTAATCTCATATGTGTCCACCCATAACGAGGTTTAGGTAAGATCACAGTTTTTTGGTGGCCGTATCTTACCTTCAAGTTGTTCCACAAAATTTGTGGATCTTTAACATTCAAATACTCATTTTTGAGATCACCATGGAGGTGATGACTAAGGAGTATTATAGCCTTAGTTTTATTTTGGCTTTGAGCTACATTTCCTTTTAGGATTGTAGTTTCAACTCCCTATGCACTACGGGAAAACTCGGCATCTAATACCTAAACCAAATAGTTGTCTCCAGTGATATCAAGAACTTCAAACTGAAAAATGGTAAAATTTAACATAGTTCACTGAAATAGTAAAATGATAATTAAATTTCTCAAATAAGGAAAATACAATCATTTTTTAATAAAAAGAATATGAAATAATCAAATAATCATCAAATAAGGAAAATACAATTATCCTTAGTAAAAAAAATTTAGAACGTAAACTATATATGCAAATATTTGGGTATAAAAATTAAAAGGCAATATCAATATTTCATGTACAATGCATAAACTTTTTTCACAAGTCATCATATAAACCAATATATGGGATGCAATCATAAATATGAACGAACAATAGCAATATAAGATGCAGCTGTAAGACAAAATCTATGAACTATTAGTTTTACGTAATATTGAATGCTAATTTTTAGCAATATTAAAGTTAAACCAATTATTAATGAACACATATACAAAAAGTCCAACTTAAAAGTCATAATAATAATATGCAACCGTTCGTTAAACCCTCGTACCTTAATACTCCCTCCGTTTCATATTAAGTGTCGTTGTAGAGAATTTTTTGTGTTACAAAATAAGTGTCGTTTTCGGTTTTCAATGCAAAATTTATTAATTTTAGGTGTAATTTTTTTTTTCTATTGGTTAAAATATGGTTAGTTGTATGGGTAATTGTGTTTTTATATAAAAAATATGTAAAATTAATTGTTTCCTTAATCCGTGTGTACAGCTGTAGAGTGACACTTATAATGAAACAGAGAGAATATTTTTTTGTAAACCCTTTGATTTTTAGTACTTTGAAATTTTACAATGGCTTAAGTGTTTAGCCAGGTAATTACATAAGATTGATTGTTGATCCTGGCTTTTTTGGCTAGGCTATCAACACTCATCACAAGATTTCTAAGGACATGTATAAAATTAAAATGATTCCTCCTTGCTACTGTTATGATATCTTGGACTGTGATGGCTGATTCAACGATGTCATCTTTTTAGCTATGTTTTCCTTTTACTAAACAATCCAAGTTTCGTATCAACTTCAGGCAATCTCCTAGAAATGTAACTTTTGTGTAGGCTAGTATGTTGAGTTGTTGAACAGCAAGCCACATTGCCATTATCTCTGCTCCAATTGCTGAGCTAGTAGGTTCCATTGCAGCGCTTCTTTGGAGCTTTGGGGTGCCTTCTTTGCTGAACAAGGACTACCCAATTCCAATTTTTTCATTTGGTGATTTCCATAAAGCATCCACAACACAATATAAATCGGTTTCATTTGAAAGAATTTCCTGCACTGAGCTAGGTGTAAGAGATAGACCTATCTGATGAGTATTATCATTATAGCTCAATGCCTCCTTCCAAACCCTCTCCTCGATAATGGCTGATTGAACTATTTTGACAATATGGTCTCTTTTATTTTCAAAAATAATTTTATTGCGCATCTTCCATATCTTCCAGCCTACCAAAAAGGAAAGGATGTCATGACAGTTCACAGACATTCGTTGAAGTAGGTAACTGAATAGGTTGTGAACCGTGTTCGTTTGAGCTAGATAAATACTGTCAACATTCAGAATAAAAGACCATATTTCTAGCTATGCGACACTGCAGGAGCATATGGTCTATGTTTTCTAGTTCTTCTCCACAGGTTTGACAGTATCCATATACTTGACATCCTCTCATATTCAAGTTCTCAGCTACTGGTAACGCATTATGCAGGACTTTCCACCAGAACTTTTTTATTTTGCAGTATACTCGTACCTTAATAAAATTTCAGCCATATACTAAACATGTGAATGAATCATAGCTTTTGAAATATACTAAATAATATATGAAACATTAAACATGTCATTAAATGAAGAAGCATCATAGTAACTTTATAAGAAAATAAATAACGTGAAGTTATTAATTAATATAAATAACACATGAATTTAAAGTCAGATTGAGCATTAGCTGATAAAATCAGACATACAATAAGATCCCTTTAAGACGGATGGTTTCCATTCCTTGAAAAGGTCAAAGAAATAATGTCAAGTAAACACTTTTGAACTCAATCGACTGACTAATGTATAGATTAAAAATATAACAAAATATAATCTATACATATCATCTCAAGATCGCTAAAGATTCGTGCTGATAACGTATTTTGAGTAAAGAAAAGAAGATAAGAGAAGTGAAGAATTGATGTATCTTATTCCATAAATAATGAACTCCTTATATATGAATATAAGATGAGGATTTAGTTTGGAGAAGAAGTACAAGTAAATCTTGGTGAACAAGATTTTCAATAATTTACATGATGTGAAGAAGGATTAAATAGACTAAAAATATAACATAATAAAATCTATACCTATTAGTTCAAGATCTCTAAAGCTTCGTGCTGATAACGTGTTTTGAGTAAAGAAGAGAAAATAAAAGAAGAGAGGAATTGATGTATTTATTCCATGAATAATGAACTCTTTATATATGAATACAAGATAATAATTTAGCTTGGAGAAGAAGTACAAATATATCTTGGTGAACAAGATTTTCAATAACTGACGTCACAATAACTATAACATTTCTTATTATTTGAAATACTAGATTTTCAATAACTGACGTCACAATAACTATAACATCTATTATTATTTGAAATACTTGAAAACTAAAAGTGATGTAATATCGCAGAACAAGCTCATAACTTTTTTTTTCTTTGAAAAAAGGGTTAACAACTCATAACTTTGACAGAAGGGCATGCATAAGTAAATCAAAGTTTCTATTATTATTTGAACTAGGACTTGAAAACTAAAAAGTGATGCAATAATCTAGCAGAACAAACTCATAACTTTGACAGAAATTCTATTTTCTTTTTAGACCTATTAACTTCTTTCTTGAGACTGGAGATGAACTCTTCTTATAGTTTTTTTTTTTCAGGTTCTCTCATGTAAATAAGGTTTCTTGGGTTACAGGAAAGGTAATGGCAATCTCTCACTCGATCAAACAGCAATTTCAGACAAACTCTTTCGGTGAAACAACTTCGGACAGAGAAGAGCTACAACAACTTGCAAATGCTAGACAGTTTATTCATCAAGATGCAAGGGTTAAGTGTCCACTACAAGTAGTGTTCCGCACCTCGTACTTCCTTCATTACTGTAAGCAGTTATACAGAAAGATTAGGAAGAGAGAAACCTATCTAACCCTTACAAGCTTGAAAGCCAGCTAGGTTTTCTTAGACGTTTCCTTGTGAATGAAGCTTCTTGATCTTCCATCTCTTGACATATTCTATTCACGAGACCTACTACTTTATTTTTGTCCCGAGATGGGGTTGTCTTCAGTGCTACTACTTGGGCACGATGATGGTGGTTTTCTTGCTCTCAAGGCCGCTGAAAGAGTGCAAGCCTCTACATTCAAATGCAGGGTAAGAGAATTCAAGTTCCTTTACAAGTTTATGATTCTTCGGTACTTGTCACTGACGCCTGACGGTGCCTTTCTTGTTGAATGATCCACATGTTTCAATCAAAGGGGTGGTTTTGATAAACGTTAGCTTATCAAGAGATGTAGTTCCTGCCTTTGCGAGGATAAGCACTTGGTTCGTCCTTTGTTGCGAACCGAAATAACCCAATTGGTGAACCGGCTATACTACCAAACTCCTAAAAGGCTAAAACTATCTCAAAGACAAGAGTTTGATGAAAGAAGAACATCTGCAAGAAAATTAGCAGCTCTACACAAGCATATGACTTCAACTAGATTTGCTACAAAGGGAGAACCTTACCTTATGTGATCACATTATGTATCACAAACTTGGCATTAAACTAGGCCAAGTGACTATATTCTTCTCAATCACAACATGTGCCTCTTGTTATGTATCCTCTAAACACCCATTAATTTACTTACAAGCCTCTCCGGCAATGCTATGCTACATTGATTAGAACACACCAAAAGGTAGTAGTCAGAAAAGGGTTTTTTAGAAAATCATCAAATACATATGCATAAAGATCACCGATGGATGGTAGAACAATAACAAAAGGATCCTAAAGAAACAGCTCTCTAGCATATTCTTTTATCAAACACAAGACTCTCTCGCAAAGCAGTAAATCTCTATTCCTTGGCGGATTTGTTGATGAGAGACTTGTGGATGTGAGGGATGACACCACCACCAGCGATAGTTCCTTTGATGAGAGTATCAAGCTCTTCATCTCCACGAATCGCGAGCTGCAAGTGCCTGGGGGAGATACGTTTCACCTTGAGGTCCTTGCTCGCGTTACCAGCCAACTCCAAAACCTCTGCGGTCAGATACTCAAGTATCGCAGCTGTGTAAACAGCAGCAGTTGCTCCAACTCTGCCGTGAGCAGTGGACCTAGTCTTCAACAGTCGATGCACCCTTCCTACAGGGAACTGCACAACAAAACAGAACAATGAAACAAAATCAAGATACAAAAACGGTTAGAAAGAAAGACTCTTTATAACCTGAGAGCCATAACATATAACTCATTGTTGCTTTTACGAGCTTAAACTACTCTCAAGTAGCATGACCATGACTAATCTAATAAAAAAGCTAAGAGCTGCTAACAAGATGAAAGATCCGCCATTTACACGATCTACTTATAAGATTTGATTTACAGGAAGATACAATGAATGAGAGAGAGAGAGAGAGAGAGAGAGAGAGAGAGAGAGAGATTTACTTGTAGACCAGCTCGAGCAGAACGGGTGATGGGTTGTTTCTTCTTGTCTTTATCCTTGTCGCTACCGCTGGCTTTCCCCATTATCAAACCCTTTGCTCCTTTCCCCGACATATTTCCCGCCAACACTCTGTGCAGAGAGAGAGAGAGAGAGAGAGAGCAGGTAGATCACAACAGAGGAGACGAAGAGCTTGCGAGTCGATAGATGTTCCCCAGAGAGAGAAAAGAGAAAGCCAAGTTGACAATGTTACCCCTCTACATCAACCTTTACTACAGTTTTTTTTTTCTTTTTTTTTAACCAACCTTTACTACCATTTAGAGATGGCAAACATGTTGTCCCGTTCCATCCCATCCCGAACGCAATGGAATTTTTACTAAGTGCGTCATAGCCGGTCAGGCCTGCGCGGGCTGCGGTCTATGGAATGACTACCCAAATCCGTCCCGCTATATGTACAAGCCTTTGGGGGTCGGTCTGTGGAACATGTAATAATCTATGCAGCAGAACGATCCAGACCACTTCAAAACGCTTCAGACCACTCTAGAACATAATTTAAGTCGTCGATTCAACTGAATCTAATTCATCAGTTATTGCTCTGCTTATTTTTATTCAAAACAATAATTGTAATTATTTGTATCACACCTAAAATATATTAACATACAAATAAAGATAACAGCAGAAGATATTTTTCATTATTTTATAACTCATAAGTTCATAACCAATGTTTTAGTTTGCTGAATCCAAAAATTAAATAAAATCAAACACCGAATCAAAATTGTCAATCCCAAATTAAATAAAAAGAGAAACCAAATCAACACCACTACTAAAGCTCAAATCGTCATCGCCGGAGCTGTAGTCATCATCACCGGAGCTCAAATCATTATCACCAAAGCTCGTATCATCATCATCGCCCCAGGTCCTTACGTTTTCTCAGGGAAGTCACATGAATCGTCTTCTTCTCAGTCTTTCTCTTGTTTTTTCATGTAAAATAAAAACTAAAGAAAAAAAATGCGGATCTTTGTAATCCCGCGGAATCTGTTTCGGCCATCCTGCAAAAGTCTCAATTCCGCAAAGACCTGTTCCACGAGGCCCGTAAATTTTCGGACCTAGAAAACCTCGTTTCAATACCGTCCTGCGACAGTTCATTACGGACTAGGACCGCGGTCCAAATCCATTATTATCATCTCTACTACAGCTAAAAAGCCCAAGCACAATACTTACAATCCAATTAATAATGAAAATGACCCAAAATTTTAAAGTAAAAAGATACATTTTTAATACACTTAGATCATCATTATCCTAGAGATCTTTTAAGGGTTTATTAACTAATTTTTATTATTATTTAATTAGTAAATTTGGTTAAGAGACTTAGTTAAGAATTTTCAACTTTTATATTCTTCATTGCAAGTCTCTTATTTTAAAGTTCTTAAAAACAAATTTTAGCATATGAACATGTGAACAAAAAAAAAAGAGCAAAAGATGAAACACAAGACTACACAAATGACACAAGACGACACAAATGACACAAGACTTCAAAAAAAACTTTCATTTCAATCCTCAGGATATGAACAAAAATAAAGCAAAAGATTCTCAGCTAAGAAATACTTTGATAATACGAAGAACATCCAAACTAGCAATGTGACTATTAGAGTTATTATACCGGGTTTTGTATATATGATTAAACCGGTTCACAATGTACATATAAATACTCATTGTATACGGTTACATTTTAGTTAAGTGAATGATACAGTTTTTACATCTCTAACAAACTGTTATCACTCTCTCTTCATCACCATCTTCATCGAGCTTGAGCTCGAGCTTCACTAGCTCTAATATGGTATCAGAGCCACTCTGATCTCTGTTCTTCCGCTTCGATTCATCTCTCTTTTCCTTGGTGATGAGTTTCGCAATCAATCCGAGAATCTTTGCCTTCCTCGATCTTCTTTGTTCTTTGATCGTCATCTTCTTTCGGATTGTTGAGCGAATCGTCTTTCTCTTTTTGTTTCTTTCCTTCGATTGACCTTAGATCTGTGTTCTCTTTGTCACATTTCTCTTTTCTTGGATTTTGAATCATGGATCTACACGAATCACCTCCGATTCGAGCTTCGTCTTCTTCGATTCCGACGCCGTTCTCTGATCCTCGTGAGAATCCTTTGTTCGTTCATCATGCGGATCACGCTGGTATTTCTCTGGTCTCTGAGAAACTTAACGGTCTTGGAAATTTCAATAGCTGGCGTAGATCTATGTTAATGGCCTTAGGTGCTAGGAATAAGGCTGTCTTTGTAGATGGAACGTATCCTGATATAGATAAGAATCACCCTGAGTTTGGATCTTGGACTCGCTGCAACAATATTGTGTGTACTTGGTTGGTTAATGCTGTTGAATCCAAGATTGCTAAGAGTATCATGTATCTTGACACGACACGTCAAATGTGGCTTGATCTTCATGATCAGTTCAAGCAAAGCGATGGTCCACGTACTGCTGATATTAAACAACAGATTTATGCTGAGATACAAGGATCACAGAGTATCAGTGACTACTATACGAAGCTTAAGCAGCTTTGGGAGGAATTGAAGAATCATGAGAGTCCTTATACCTGTTGTTGTGGTAAAACTCAGTGTGACAGTAGCAAGCACATTGCAGAACGAGAGGAGCAAGATCATGTTTTGAAGTTTCTCATGGGATTAAATGATTCTTTTACTGCTACTCGTGGCCAGATCTTGATGTTGGATCCTAAACCTAATATCCAGAAGGTTTTCAATCTCTGCTCTCAAGAGGAACGTCAACGATCTATGAAGTCTACCAGTAGTGTGGTCTTACAGACTTCTCAGGATACATCTCAGAACAGTTCACTGGTGGCTGCTTACTCTGGAGGATACAATCGACAGAAGTCACGTCCGATATGTTCTCACTGTGGACTTCTAGGTCATACTGTCAATCGGTGTTACAAACTCCATGGTTATCCACCTGGTTACAAGCCTTCTAGTTCCACCAAGTCTCAGCAGATGACGTCTCAGTCCAAATCTCTGCAACCTTTGCCATCCAAGAAAGACAATGTGACTAATCTCGCCTCACAGGATACTGGATCTATTTCCATGCACGATCACAACGGTGTTCATCTTGGGTCAGTTACGTCAGATCAAATCCAGAAGCTTCTAAGTGTTCTCAATACCAGACCGGTTACAGAACAAATATCTCAGGTTTCAGGCAGTACCCTACAACTCTCGGATGGTTCAGTCTCTGTGATAAAGCCTCAGCCTCACCTTATTCCCCATACCTCAAACCCTTTTGAAACAGGTACTATGACTCCTTTGACTCATTTTGTGTCTTCTGCGGGAACTGATCATAGTCTAATTTTGCAAGAAAATGCTTCTGCTTGGGTGATAGATACGGGTGCTAGTTGTCATGTTTGCTTTGATTTGACTAGATTCTCTGATACTCATTTGATTTCAAATACTGTTGTGACTCTTCCTGATGGTACTCGCATTGATGTTACTATGTCTGGTACTGTGATTCTATCTGATCAACTAGTTCTACATTCTGTGTTGTTTGTTCCACATTTTAAATTCAACTTACTGGGCATAAGTGCTTTGACTGCTAATACGTCCATCTCGGTTCTTTTCTCATCTGATGCATGTTACATATTTCCTTTTAATCCATTACCCTTGATACAGGAGCATACTCAGGGCTCCATGATTGGGAAGGGTAATCTTCACCGCAACCTATATCTCTTGGAGTCCTCTGTTCATGCTCCTCACACGATTGCACATACTCATACACTTGCTCAAATTTCATCTGATACTTGGCATCAACGATTGGGACACCCTTCATTCAACAAGATTCAACAACTTGCTAGGACATTAGAGATTTCGTCTTTAAAACCTTCTCATGATCATGTTTGTAAAATCTGTCCTTTGGCAAAACAAAAACGTTTATCTTTTCAATCTTTCAATAATATTTCTTCTTCTCCTTTTGACTTGCTTCATATAGATGTTTGGGGTCCTTTTCATGTATCAACTGTTGATGAATACAAATACTTTTTCACAATAGTTGATGATTGTACTCGAGTTACATGGTTATACCTATTGAAAAATAAAAGTTCTGTTCAAACTGTATTTCCTGATTTTCTTACATATGTTGAGACTCAGTTTAATGCCAAAGTTAAATCCATTAGGTCAGATAACGCACCTGAACTTGCTTTCACTACTTTGTTTAAATCTAAAGGCATTGTTCACTATTTTTCATGTGCATACACACCGCAACAGAACTCAGTCGTTGAGAGGAAACATTAGCACATACTTAATGTTGCTAGATCACTTATGTTTCAATCGAACATCCCTCTCATCTATTGGGGTGACTGTGTTCAAACTGCAGTTTATCTTATTAATAGACCTCCATCTCCTGTACTGAAAAACAAGTCACCATATGAATTACTCATGCATAAACCTCCTAGTTATGATCATTTGTGTGTATTTGGTTGCTTGTGTTTCACTTCGACACTGCTTAAAGATAGGAACAAATTTTCTCCTCGTGCTTCTCCTTGTGTGCTTCTTGGTTATCCTCATGGATATAAAGGCTATAAGGTTCTTGATCTACATACTAATGTGATTTCTATATCTCGTAATGTCATCTTTCATGAAAATACTTTTCCTTTTTCTGAAAAATTTTCCAGCTTCTTCTGTATCTGATATTTTTGGTCAACATGTGTTGCCTCTTCCTGTTCCAGACTCGCCATTTCCTGCTTTCTTTGATCTAGGATCTTCTACTCTTTCTGATTCTTCTATGTTTCAAGATGTTGCATCGGATTCCATTGTTTCTTCTTCACCTGTTACATCTGATTCTAATGGTTCTTCCACATTTGTTGAGTCTGATAACAATGTTTCTTTACCTGTTCCTGTTGAACCTATAGTCCGTGCTAGGCATCAAACTATGGTTCCTGCTTACTTAGATCAATATCATTGTTATCTTTTACAGAAAACACCTTTTCCTTCTCATCTTTCTCATACTACTTCTTACCCTATCTCTGCTTTTTTGTCCTATGATAATGTTTCTGTTGATCATCGTAACTTTCTATTAAACCTTACAACTACCTTTGCCCCAAAGACTTTTCACGAGGCTCTTCGTTCCGATGAGTTTAGGGGAGCTATGAAATCTGAAATGGATTCTCTAGAACGTACTGGTACTTGGTCTGTCTGTCAACTACCTGAGGGAAAGCATCCGGTTGGTTGTAAGTGGGTGAATACATACAAGTATAATCCTGATGGGACGGTAGAACGTCCTAAGTCTCGTTTGGTGGCTAAAGGTTACACTCAATTGGAGGGGGTCGATTATATTGATACGTTCTCACCAGTGGCCAAGTTAGGCACTTTCAGACTTCTTCTTAGTCTTGTTGCTGCTCGAAACTGGCATACTCTGCAGTTAGATATCAGTAATGCGTTTCTCAATGGTGATTTGGATGAGGAGATTTACATGACAGTTCCTCAAGGATATGAAGAATTGACAGGCAAGAGAGTTCTTCCAGGCTCTGTCTGTCGTCTCCACAAGTCTTTATATGGCCTTAAACAGGCATCAAGACAGTGGAATCATAAGCTCTCTGCTGTATTCTTTCAAGAAGGTTTTGTTCAGGCTCATGCGGATCATTCTCTGTTTGTGAAGCATACATCAACTCTGTTTCTTGCAGCATTGATCTACGTTGATGATATTCTGCTTGTTGGTAATGATGAAGCAGCTATAGCTGCTTTCAGAGATGTGCTTCAGTCTGCCTTCAAATTACGTATTCTTGGTCCTGTGAAGTATTTTTTGGGTTTTGAGATAGCTCGAAATGCAACAGGGATCTCTATTAATCAGAGGAAGTATACTTTGGAGCTTCTTCAAGATGCTGGGTATCTTGGATGCAAGCCGGTCACTGTTCCCTTGGAGCCGAATCAGAAATTATCAGAATCTACTGGTACTATTCTTTCTGATGCATCTGTTTACCGGAAGATTGTGGGAAGACTTTTGTATTTGACTCATACCAGACCTGATATTACTTATGCTGTACACAAGCTAAGTCAATACATGGCAGTTCCAAGGTCTGATCATCTTGCAGCAGCTTACCGTGTTCTACGGTATTTGAAGAACGATCCTGCACAGGGATTATTCTATCCAGCTAACACTGCTTTAACCTTGACTGCATTTAGTGATGCAGATTGGGCTACTTGCCCTGACTCTCGTCGCTCTGTCACGGGTTATTGTATGTTCCTTGGTAGCTCTTTGGTGACATGGCGTTCGAAAAAACAACCTACGGTTTCAAGGAGCAGCTCTGAAGCGGAGTATCGTGCCATGGCAGATGCCACATGTGAGCTTATTTGGTTATCATCTCTGCTTCAATCTCTGCATAGTTCTCTTTCTGGTCCTGCAACATTGTTTTGTGACAACATGTCTGCACTTCATATAGCCTCTAATCCCGTGTTCCACGAGCGTACTAAACACATTGAGAACGACTGTCATGTGGTTCGGGAGAGGTTACAGAGTGGATTTCTGAAGACTATGCATGTCAAGAGTGAACATCAGCTTGCTGATTTGTTTACTAAAGCGGTTCAGCCGAGTGTCTTCACGAGTTTGATGTCCAAGATGGGTATTCACAAGTTGTTCATTCCATCTTGAGGGGGGGGGGTATTAGAGTTATTATACCGGGTTTTGTATATATGATTAAACCGGTTCACAATGTACATATAAATACTCATTGTATACGGTTACATTTTAGTTAAGTGAATAATACAGTTTTACATCTCTAACAAACTGTTATCACTCTCTCTTCATCACCATCTTCATCGAGCTCAAGCTCGAGCTTCACTAGCTCTAATAGTGACCAGCCCTGGTTCCTTTATCGTTTATGAATCTTGAGGCATCATCAACAAGCTTCCTCAAAACCTGCAATACAATCAAAACCCCATAAAAAGCCAACCACACACACGCAACACACAAGAGAACTCAACAACACAAATGATCATTTACATACATGTGCTCTAGCTGGCTTGGGCGTATAAGAAAAAGTCACTAGAACTTAAATTTATCCACAGACCAGAAGCTAAATGAACTCAATAGACTTTACTTTTATTTAATTATTAATAATTTATTTTAAGTTTTTTGTAAAATTTTAGATATATATATATATATATATATATATATATATATATATATATATATATGATAGATTGTGACCGAATATGGTGAATATTTTCCGTATCCTTTTTAGATCTTAAATATCTTAATCCAATCTAAATGACTTGAAAATTACCAATATTTTACATATATTTTAATTATAGATTTGAACTGAACTAATTCAGGCCCCAAAAAAAACTAATCTAAACCTTAGCCAAAATCTTGTAAAAGTATCTATTAAATCCAAATTTCTAAGATCCCAAGAATCCAACCCGAGAAAAACCAATCTAAAAGCCTAAACGCAAGAATACACGCAAGAAACTTGCATTGTCTGATTAGAAAAGAGAGAAATGCAGTTGACGATTTTACCCCTCAATATCAACTCTTATTACAGCTAAAAAGCGAAAGCCCAATAACATAAGTCAGGTAAATATAATAATTGCAAAATATGTCCCAATATTTTATATATTATAATAAAAAGACCCCAGAAGTTAAAAGATAACATTTTTAACACTTTGATTCAGAAGAAGAGAAGAGGTCCATTTTTTCTCTGTATATTCAGTCTGGAAACACAAACACACAGCAAATCAAGAACCAAGACAAATGTTTTTTTTTTGCAATTTGCTAACCATCAGATGGTTTCTCTGCTGTTTTCCCTTCCTTGTTGATGTGAAAGCCTTCAATCTTCTTAGCAACTTCATCCACACCATGCTTCACTCTCCTCGAGATCGACTCGTTCTCTTCATGGTTTGGTGTCGTTTGCCAGATCCTGATGGTCCCGTCTTCAGATCCCGAGGCATATGACTCACCCGTGGGTGAAAACCTCACGCAGTGCACAGGACCATGGTGTCCCTTGTTGCATCCTATGTTCAGACAACAATCAGATATGTACAGGAGCTTTTGCTTTAAGAGAAATCTGACTTAAATATGGTGTTCAAGAGTGTAACTCACCAATCTCTTCGCCAGTGTAGAAATCAAAGACTCGGACCCACATATCCTCTCCACCAGCAACAAACTTTTCACCAGACTTTGGCTCCAAAGACGCAGACTCAATGTTGCATGGCATGTCATAACTCTTCACCAGTCCAAAGCTATTAAAATGAAGGACAAAGTTAGAGCTTGAGCAAGTTATAAAAGGTCTTCTGACAATGTTGCAGGACTTACTGGTTCGCGTCCCAGAATTTAACAGTTGACCCATCAGCAGTTGTAATGTAGCGTCCATCTTGGCTCACTTCAGCACTGGTGACAGAAGACTTGGTCTCTAATGTCTGAACAATCTTCCCACTCCTAACATCCCATAACCTGTATAAAGATTATACTTAGAATAGAGCTATACGCCTTGTTTTGTGTAACAATGTGTACTTAGAAGTGGCTTGTTAGTTCATACCTTACACCACCAATATCAGTGCAAGAACTTAATATAGTTTGATCACTGTGAAGCCATGTGAGAGTTCGGATAGAACCAGGAGACTTGTCGAATTCAGTGGGAGGTGCATCCAACCGATTCAAGTCAAAAACACGGAGAATCTTCTCAAATCCTCCTGTGATCAACAGTTTTGTGTCCTAGTGACAGAGAGAAAAAAAGGTTAGACACCATCAAAGCATTCAACTTAAAATTTCATTTGTCACATAAGAAGGTAACAGATCATCCAATCACAGAGCTATATAAGCGATGCCTGCTAGCTTGCTATAAAAGCTACACCAACTTGAACGAACCTCTGAGAAAGCACATGCTCGAACAATATGCTTGTGCTCAAAAGAATGCAGCACATCCCCTGTCAACGCATCCCAAAGTTTCCTGAATGAATAAACAAAGCATTTACATCATTAAGATCTAAGCAAAGAAGAGACAACAACATATTATTGGAACGAAAAAGACATACGCTGAAAAGTCAGCTGATGCAGAAGCAGCACGTAACGCATTGTTGTCCAGGCAAGAACTCCACACTGCACCTTTGTGACCTTCAAATGTACCAATCCAGTCTCCAGTCTCCCCATTTCTCAACATTGGATGCGAATCTCAAAAAACACACAAATGCAAAACTTATTCAAGCATGTTCATAACATAACGCAGTTGAAAGAATTGTTCAGTTCCATTTATAAATGTTAAAACCAACCAACAGAACATTCTTGCACTAAGTTTAATAAAGGAAACGTTTCGAAAAGCCTTGCCCGCACAAATAATGCAAAACTAAGATGAGTAATCAGAGCATGTAAACAACACAAAAACATAACACAGTGGAAAGGATTGTTTAATTCGCTAATAAAACCAACGAAAAAGAATATCGTTGTCCTAAGTTTAATCAAGATAAGTCTATGCAGATGAAAGGAGTGTCCAGTTCTTACCGCAAACAAAACAGAACCAACCAAACAGAACATTGATGTGCTAAGTTTAATCAACATATATAGTCTTGTCCGCACAAATAAGATGAGTAATCAAAAGAATTGTACAGTTCATACCACAGAAAAAAAAGCTAATATTTTTGTACTCAGTTCGTTGTTATGAAAGAGACACAATATATAACTCTCATGTTTCTGTCGGAATCTTATAATCACAAGTTAAAAACCTAATAAAGAAAATACCTTTACTGGCGCTGATGAGGAAGAAACCATCAGGGGTAATAGGACTGTAGAACAAATCAACAACAGGTCTCGAATGGCCATGGCACACAAGTGGAACTGCGACCTTCTTCTTATCCATTTGTATCTCTCTAACCAACTCAACTCAACTACTACTACTACACAACAGTGGTCAAAAGAAAACCCAAAACCCTAGCCGCCGCCACTAACTGAGAATCAAATCCTTTCAGATTGAAGAAAAAGGGGTTTTTCTAATTCTCAAGAGATTTCAAGGCTAGATCTGACGCTAAGAAATCAATAAAGGGTCTAATTTTCTACAATTGCGAAGAAAAATCCCGAATCTAATAAACTTTGATCGAAGCTAATAGAGAAATCTGATGAATGGGATGATGCTTTTATTTGTACAAACAAGTAAACATGTGTGTTTAGGGATTTCTACAATCATCATCGGGGAGGAGAGAGAGAATATATTTTATTGTTTAAAGAGAGAGAAAACAAAATAAAATAATAGTATAATGTGTATTTCTAATTTACTTACTTTATATTTTCAGATGTACATATGTGTCCCCTTATCGCATTGTTTGTTGCAAAGTACATAACATCAACAACACACACACACGAACGTGTATCATACAAAAAGCTTGCTTCTTCTAAAATTTATACACATCTAAAGACGCATTTTCAGAAGTTTAGGAAGTTAGCGTCGCAAATTCTTAATGTCGGCCAAACACAAAATATATCTTTCTGGTTAATATAATGATTTCAAATAATAGGAAATTATATATATTGACTTTCACTACAATAAAACATGCCTTTAACGAAGAATAATTACGAGAAAAATATTTTTTGGTAATTTTACGAAGTGTTTACGACTACTTTACAATGAATCTAATATTCGTCGTAAAGTCCTAGTACAATTAAAAAAAAAAACATTTCGTCGTAATTTACATGTTAGTTTACGACGAAAGTACTAGGAACTAGAAGTTTCGTCGTAAAGCCGAATTAAAATTATTAGGCTTTTACGACGAACCATTTAATCGTTGTATCTAATAAAAACATGTTCTTAACCTAAGAACGTTGTAAAGCAGATAGGAAAGAGTTGTAAAATCCTAGTAAAACTTGTCCTTGTAAATTCGTTGTTACACCTTTACCAACCAAGTTTGAAAATTTCCTATATATATCATTCCTCAATCCTAACAACACACAAATAGTTACAAAGAAAAAAAATCAAGAAAAAACATTACGACGACTTATGTATCGATTTTTCAAGAAATTGAAAGGTGTATATGGTCACTAGAACAGTTCTTCTCAACACATAGTTTTTCCTCTAAAATCCGATGAATAGCTATAAGGAGTTGATAAAACCGTTCCGATGACCGAGCACTCCTTTTCGTTTTTTGGAAAGAAATCCAACAACTTTTTTTAATCTTATACATTCGTTGTAATATCATCGTAAATTTACAACTGTATTATGACGAAAGTTGTTAGGTGACACAATTTTAAATGTGTAGTTCACCTAACTTAATTTGTTGTAAATATGTTGTAATCAAGATGTTAGGGACATGTAAAATCATAGTAAAACTTTCACCTACCAAGCTCGGAGAATTTTCTATATATATGAGCATTCTCATTCCATATCAACACAAAAACGAAAAAAAAAGAAAACAACTAAAAATATGTCTGATGGACGGAATATGTATACGTATAAAGATTCCGACAGTAGAGTGACGAATGCATTTCTTGGCGGGATAGAGACATTCATGAACCAGGCAGGTTGTACACCGCTCACGCAGGAGAGTGGTAAGATGTTTTGTCCTTGTAGAAAATGCAAGAATTCAAAATTTGCATGTACTGAAACTGTATAGAAATATTTAGTTCACAGAGGTTTTACACCACAATACTATTTTTTGGTTTTAACATGGAGAGGATTATGGAGGAAATGAAGCTAGTAATAGTAATATTAATTTTCAGAATGTCAATAATAATGAGGAACCGAATCATTTACATAACGAATATAACCAGGCTGCTGAACATATGGTAGATCATGATAGGATTCACGACATGAGTACTGATGCATTTTTAGAAACTACTACAACAATAGCTAATGAAACTGTAAATGTTGAAGAACCTAATATGGATGCAAAAGGATTTTATGAAATGCTAAATGCTGAAATCAACCAATCTACACTAGTTGTAGAGAAGATCACTCTAAATTTTCTTTAGCAGCTAGGATGATGAATATTAAAGCGGATCATAATTTACCTGAGAATTGCATGGATGCATGGGCCGAGTTGTTTAAAGAGTATTTGCCAGAAGACAACGTGTCAATTGAATCTTATTATAAGATTCAGAAATTGGTTTATAGCCTTGGGTTACCATCGGAGATGATAGATGTTTGCATCGACAACTGCATGATCTACTGGATAGACAATGAGAAGCTAGAAGAGTGTTGATTCTGCAAGAAACCATGATTCAAACCGTAAGGACGTGGGAGTAATAAGGTACCGTACCAAAGGATGTGGTACTTACCAATTACATATAGGCTGAAAAGATTATATCAAGCTAAGAGGACTGTCGGAGTGATGAGGTGGCATGCTGAAATGTCCAGAGGGATGACAAGATTCCTCATCCATCAGATGCAATAGCATGAAAACATTTCAACAAGGTACACCTAGATTTCACAAGAAACATTTGAAATGTCTATCTTGGGTTAGCACAGACAGATTTAGTCCATTTGGAATGTCTGGGAGACAATATTCTTTGTGGCCAGTCATTCTTACGCTGTACAACCTGCCTCCGGAGATGTGCATGGAACAAGAACTTCTATTCTTGACCATATTAATCCCTGGTTCGAAGCATCCAAAGCAGTTGTTAGATGTTTTTATTCAACCATTGATACAAGAGCTGAAGGACTTGTGGTCAGAAAGGGTGAAGTCATATGATTGTTCCATGAAAACCAATTTTACGATGCGAGCAGTTCAGCTTTGGAAGATAAATGACTTTCCTGCTTATGGGATGTTGTCTGGATGGACTACACATGGAAGGTTATCTTGTCCACATTTTCTTGGATCAACATATGTTTTTCAATTGAAGAATGGTAGGAAGACTTGTTGGTTTGATTATCATCGTCAATTTTTTCCCCTTATCCATGCTTATTGAAGAAATAAGATATTGTTTACGTACAAAATAAGTTGTCAGGGATAGTCCTCCTCCATATCTCACTGGAAAACAGATCTTAGCGCAAATTAATTACTACGGATCTAAGGAAACTGTTCCACGTGGAGGAAACTAGCATGTTCCTGGAAATATGCCTGATGGGTATGGTGTCAATCACAATTGACATAAGAAGCGTATATTTTGGCAGCTGCCTTATTGGAAAGATCTTCTTTTACGCCACAACCTCAGTGTTATGCATATAGAGAAGAACTTCTTTGACAACATCATGAATACAATATTGAATGTCCCAGGGAAGACAAACGATAGAAAAAAGTCAAGGATGGACTTACCTGATATTTGCTCAAGAAGTGAGTTACATATCAAAAACAATGGAAATATTCCAGTTCCTATCTTCCGATTGTCATCAGAAGCGAAGACGACTTTGTTTAACTAGGTTGCATCAGAAGTTAAGTTCTCTGATGGATATGTTTCTAATCATTCAAGATGTCTTGAACAAGGTCAAAAGTTCTCAGGAATGAAGAGTCATGATTGTCATGTGTTTATACAACGACTACTTCCATTCGCTTTTGCTAAGCTGCTTCCAATAAATGTACATGAAGCACTTGCATGTAAATATTGTTGATTACTTAATATTATATATACATATGTTATGAAATATCATTAAATGGATTGATTTTGCAATATGCAGCCATTGAGCATTCTTCAGAGACCTAAGCACATGTACATTCATGGAAGAAGTTATTGAACAACTTCATGAGAATATTTTGATCATATTGTGCAACTTAGAGAAAATATTTCCTCCAGCATTTTTTGACGTCATGAAACATATTGTTGTTCTCCTTGCACACGAGGCATTACTTCATGGTCCTGTTCACCACGGATGATGTATCCGTATGAGCGCTCCATGAAACATTTGAAGGGGAAAGCAAAAAATCTTGCAAAGGTTGAAAGTTCAATAATTGATGGGAGTTTGACAGCAGAAACATCTCACTTCACATCATACTACTTTGCACCAACGGTACGTACCAAAAAAAGAGTTCCTAAAATATATGATGATGGTGGAGTCGTCTCCACATATCCAATAAGCAATGTTCCTCACATTTTCTGCCAAATTGAACGGTTTAGTGGTAGATTGCGAGAAATATGGTGGTCTAGTGACAAGGATAAGCATTAGTGCCCACACTTGTATTCTGACTCCTAGACCGAGACCAACTGGACCACGTCCTACTTATAGTCAGATGTTTGGTACTGATGGTGTCGGGACATCTTCTTCCGGACCGTCATCATCCAAGGTTGTACCTGACTCTCAGGTGTATTATACCGCAAATGAGATACCCTATCATGAGATGCCTCCACCTCCAGCAGCTCCACTTGCTCCCGCACCCGCTACAGCAGGTGGTGATCAGGTTCATCCAGATTTGCGGGTACCTCCATCTGCACAATATGTTGCATATACTATGGAGGATCTTCTTGCCCAACCGGGGCGAGAAAGTTTAGATATTCTGGACCCCAATCGTCCACATGATACTTATTGGTAAGTTTTTTTAATTAGTTAAAATTTTATTTTATTTTTTTGTTCTAACAAGTTGATATTATTTTCAGGTTTGGAGCAAATAACCGCGTCAGCCGGAGTGTTTCAGAGACGATGATGGGGTATTTTCTCGAGCCTCATCCGAACTGGAGTATGACTCCAGACCATGCGAAGAAAACGTGGTTTAAAGTGTTTGCGGTAAATATATTTTAAATATTTAATATTAAATTAGTTTTTAATATTTTTAAAACATTTTTTTGTTTGCATTAAATATTTTTTAAATATTTAATATTCAACGCTGGTCCTTATCGATCAACGAGAAGGTGAAGGAGGCTTTTGTAGCAAAAACTAAGATCCGCCTTTGCAACACCGTCTCGGATTGGAAGGACAAGTAGGAACTCTACGGTTATGAAGCGAAGCCCAAAGAGAACTTGAAGTTTGTATGGGATGACCTCATCCACTTTTGGAGCCTACCTTCCTCGATCAGAAAGTCCAACTCGTGCTGTTCTTCCCGGAGAACGAAGTATAAAGACGGCAATGAGCCCATGCTTCATAGAACCGGCCAAAAACTTCACGCTGAGATCCGTCTAAATGTTGTAAGTTTTAATTTTAAATTTTAATTATTTTTTTAAAAAATTTTATTTATTAACTAATTTAAAAAAATTAACTCTTTTTGCTTAAGGCTGGAGTCATGCCATCTCTGACTTACTATTCAGGATGACTCACGCCACAACAGACGTAGTTTTTGTGGTCCATGGTCCAAGAAACTCTATAATGATGTGGTTTTTCAGGTTGAGGAGCGGGAGACACAGCTAACCCAGGAGGCTCCCGATGGATTACCCGTCACATTGACTACAGAAGAAGTCGACCGAATTTTCTAAGAAGTAAAATTTTCGAATAAATTTTAATTCATTTATATTAATTCTTTTATATATAATTAATATAATTAAATATTAATATATTATATATATATATATATATATATTTTTTTTTTTTTAAAAAGGTGGCTCTTAGAAAGAAGGAACGACAGTGGGAATAGGCTCGGTCAACAAAGTCCCAAAGGCGACTTCATTATACACTTCGAAACGGCATGAGGAAACTTCTCAGAGGCCGGCTCGCATGTACTCTCAGCAAGAGTGTTTGGAGTCACTTGAAGATCTGCTGGACATTATGGCGAATAGGAAACCGGTTATGCAGAGAACATTGAATGAAAGACGAGTGGCTCTCGGAATGCAGCAACATCCTCCCGAGTCAACCGGTCGACGCGGGCCGGAACCAACCCGCCCCGACGAGTACCTCGGCAATAACATGTTGTAGTTATTTTTTATTTTGTTTTGTATTATAAATTACTATATTATTTTATGCCTTTTATATTATGGTTTTTTAAAACAGAGAAATATTTTTAAATATTTGGTTTTATAATCTAAATTACGAATTTTATAAATAAAAAAATAGAAAATATATCAATACCAAATAAATTCCTCGTAAAATTTACAACGAGTTAACATGGAAGTCCTAGTAATTTCCTCGTAAATTTTACTACGAGTTTACATGGAAGTTTCGTAAATTCCTTGTGAAGTTACAAGGAGTTAACAATGAATGTTTACGAGAAAATGGAACGAAGAGTTTACGACAGAATGTAACATGGACTTTACAATGAAGCATTTCCTTGTCTTTTACAACGACAATAATTCCTCATAATTTTACATGGACTTTACGACGAATAATCCATTACAGCGGGTATTTAACAATGAAACACGTTTTATTTTTAATTTGTCGTAATTGTCCTATTACAACGAATTAACATGGAAAATGACCCTTGTAAAAAAGTATGTTTTTTGGTAGTGTTTGTAATTTAAAATTATTATAAATGAAATCGTGTCCGCGGTAAAAAAGAAAAAGGAAATGACATACCTTTTTAGTTTATTTAAGTTTAGTAAGTTTTCCTTTTAAGAATAACGGTTGGAATCAACTATGAAAACAAATCAAAATCACATACTGCTTTCTTTGAAGATGAGCGACGTTAAAATACTTGCGTGTGCTTGTGTTATCCCTTTTAGGGCTGGATATTTTAAAAGTTAAATTTAATTCGATTCGTTATTCGTTTTGATTTTTATCCAAATATTATGAATATCCGTAAACAGGACCGGTCTGGAGCACAATCGAAGTAAACGACATCTTAGGGCATCATAATTTTAAATGATAATTTTAATTATATATAGGGCACTAAAAAAATTACATGAACAAGAAGGACATAAAATTGTAAGTGAATTTAGGGCATCAAGCAAAAGGATAAAAATGTTAGACCGACATTGTATGTAAATTAATGAAGCAAAGCAAATAATAATAAATTAACATCCGTTAAAATCAAATCAAATCACAAATATTAAAATTTTGGGAAGCGGATATCCGCTCCGATCCAGCATTATATAATACATACATACATACATATATATATATATATATATTTCTTGATTATATTTAAATTTTAAATGTATAAAATTATATAATTATTATTCTAACATATGATTTGATAAATTCTATTCACATTTTTACTTATATAAAAGTATTACATAAAAAAGAGAAAAAAACTTATGAAAATTATAATTTTTTGCTTAAGTTTTGTGTTATTATAGTTGTTAACTAAGTTTAAACATTTTCAAAGTATTTCGATTCACTACTTCTTTTAATTTTATTAATTTATGAAAAAATTATTTAGATCTTTCTATTTTCAGATATTTTTAAAATAAATAAATATATATATATATATATATATATATATATATATTTAATATATACATTATTTTTTAAACTGACATTTATATTGGTTTAGTATATTATTTAATGTATATAAAATCTATTTCATAGAAGTTGAAGGTGGTTTTAAATATAATTTTACTAAATCTTGTTAAAATATATAAAATTGTTACAAAAATATAAAGATAATTTTATTGTGAATGTAAAACAAAGAATACAATGATAGATTCATTTTTATTTGAATGGAACCATATATTTACATAGGATTCTCTATAAAGTTATTATTATATTATTTTATCGATTTGTGTCATATTCTAAACCGATCCAACTTAGGACCAGAAAAAAATTATTAATTTATAGAATATCTACCGTACATGTTTGTAAAATTGCATTGTGTTAACCTTTAACTACAAATACGGCTTACTAAATCAGTCTTGACCCAAGCTAATGAAATAATGGTCTGAAACTCCCAAAATGTTTGGAAAAAAAAATTATATAGAAATAAGCTCCAGAACAAAAAAATTAGATCTCCAAAAAAAATAAAAATAGTTGATATATTTAATAAATCGCTTATACACCCCTCCCCCCTAAATCTTAGAGCAGCTCCGATACAGAATAACCAATGTTCCATAGTGCCGGCTCTACACCAATGCCAGCAGTGCATTTGCATTAGGTCTCATCTTCTTTTTCAAAATTTTACTTGTATTCTTTTATGTTTTTGTAAAAAAGCCCCAATTTTAGATAAATACAGTTTTAAAATTTAATTTAAGAAAGTAACTTGCACAAGGACCCATATTGAGCTGGACCTGTTCCATGAATAATAATCTCAAGAGGGTTTAAAAGGAAAACTTCTTGAGATCCCATTTGTCCAGTCATTTAGATTTTTTTTTGTTTGTTTTTTTTGACATCAAATGACTGCTCTATTACTCAAGCGATTTGAGGTGGTCTGGGTAACCAGACCGGAACAGAACAACCAACGTACACAAGCTTACGATAAAAGGACCTAGCTAACTTAGCTAAAGAATCAGAAGCGTCATTCTGAAGTCTAGGAACATAAGAGATTTTGAAGTCTAGAAAGTAGATCTTCAGCGTCATCAATTTTTCCAACTCTGTTGAGTCATTTAGATTTAAATACTCTCTTAGGAGTCTTTTATATATATGGTTGAGCCTCGTCATATATTATGATCGTGACGGTCGAATGTCTGGCTCCGTCATTTACAGTATGCTGCTTGAGTTGTAGTAGCATTTATAACATACGCTGCCTATATAAAACTTTGTTTAAATTTAGACACATAAAAAGTCACGTTATTTTCACAAGTTTAGTAAGTTAAAGTCACGATTTCTTACGGTCGGTCAAACATACATCCGTCTTTATGGTCATGGTTTAGATAACCATTTCAAATAAGGAAATTACTTACTTTTACCTTTTTTGATTTATTCAAGTTTAGTGAGTTTTCCTTTTAAAGAACAATGGTAAGATCACTTAACCTATAAATACATGTAATGTATATTCATGAAAACAACTAAAAAATCATTACGATTTCTTACTCAAGCTTTATCATCTTTCCTTCCACCTTAAGCTATTTTGAGGAGAAACACATATTCGAAGATGAGCCAAATTTTAGCACTTTCTTATGCTATCTCTGTATTTATTCTTGGCTCCGTTACACTGGCGTATTGGGTTTCTCATCGTGGTGACAAGAATGCCCACAGGAATATTTTGAATGGTATCGTTCGGTGTTCTTTTGGCCCCCTTGGACTAGTACTCTGTGGCGCTTATAAACATTATTCTGTTGATGATGATGATGCCAACAATGATCATCATGATCATGGTTCTGGTACCAGTAGTGACCATGTTATTATCAACATCAGGGAGCTGCCCAATGTTGACCCCTCCATGGCTCCATCCGCATCCGATCAATCCCCGTCGTTGATTTCAACACTGCGAACTTTGAGGACAACGTCGAATGTGTCGTTTGTCTCTCCTAGCTCGCCGACGGAGACGAAGTCAAGGTTTTACCGAGCTGTAAACATGGGTTTCACGCCCAATGCATCGACGCGTGGCTTGAGTCGCAGAGTAAGCCTGTTCCAAACTAACGAACCAAGTTCCAGAAATCTAACTTGTTCTGATGAGCATTCAGCAGATGTGACACCGGTTGTAGTAGACATCCCGACAACCTTCGAATTTGGAGATTTGGGCCCCATTACATCCCTGACCCCATTATGATTTTCTTACATACAACGTCGAGACTGCTGTATTTTTGAGAAAAAAGTCCGTTTTTGCAAAGATGAAAGCTTCCAAGGCCTAAGGCTTTTCCTGATACAACTTGAGCAAGAAGTTAACGTGGCCATCTCCATGAAGACCAAATCAGTTGTTCAGAAGTTTTAATTTCCATATTGCCTTTTATTTAGGGGAAATTGTTTTTAGACCAAAAAAATGGTAACATTGTTCCCATAGTCTAATTTTTTTTTGTACCATTTTTTCATATAATACCCTTTATTAATTTCGAAAATAATTAAATAAATAGTTTTAGAAAAAAAAAACAAAAAAAACAACTAGTTATGAAACATCAATATCAATCTAGTGGTATTTTTTTCAAGTTCTAAAAATGTATAAATTGGTTTTTCAAATTATATTCTACATAAAGTAGAAGTGACATTCTACAAAGTAGAAAATGAAATCCACTTTTTTCATTGAATCTACTATGTTTAGAATACACATTCTACGCTTAAACTATCCTTCTAAAATCAGTAGAAAACGGATTCTATACATTGCTATAAATCTAAATATAAGTAAAAATCAGAATCTACCAATTATAAATCTAAAACCTGTAGAACCTGATTTCAAACCTTATTATTGTATTCTACATATAGTAGAATACACATTCTATGGATAAGAATATTCTGTTCCGAAAATATAGGAAGATAATATTTGAAAAAAAAATTTTGATTAAAAAATAATAAGTAAAATCGATTTTTTTTTTATTTAAAAAAATTCATTTTTCATTAGAAAAGTAAAAGAAATAGAAAAAACCATGAAATCGAATTGGAAGAATTATCTAGGATTGTGATCGATCGATCTAAAATAGAGATCGATCGATCTATGATAGATCGATCGGTGAAGATCGACTGAACTGGACAAGGTCGATCAGTTTCTGCTCCGTGCTTTTTTATGTTTTTGTTTAATCATCGAGATCGACCGTTGGGATCGACCGACTCTTTCAGGGATCGATCGATCCCGTCGTATAGAGCAGTTTCTTTTCTCCTTTTTTTTCCGATTTAAAGATTTTTATTTTTTATTTTTTATGATTTTTAACTGAATTTAAGGGCATTATTGCCATTTAGAAAATATTTAGTCTAATGGGACATAAAGTAATATAGATTAGTCTAAAGGGACAATGTTACCATTTTCTTGACCTAAAAAAACTATTTTCCCTTTTGTTTTGTAGGATTATATTTCCTTAATTTGAGGATGTGTGTTGCTTACCCACTCACGTAGTAGTTAGTTTATTTCCTTCATCAATTTTGTATTTAAGCATGAGGCAGAGTTAAATGAAAGGGGAAGAGAAAACTGTGGTAAACTTGTCTTTAAAACCAAAGTGTTCTTGTTTTGATCAACATTGATTTCGTCATTTCCCCATAACTGGGACCTATCACTACATTACTAGTCATTCTCAACACACTCGAGAATTGGTAGTACAAACTGAGGCACAATAGTCAATTCAAGATTCTCTTGTACTAGCTCTTTCAAATAAACTAGGTACTGTCAACAAACCGTGTGCATATTCTTACTAGAATTTTAGTTTATATTGATAAGCTTCTTGTATAAACATCAAAAGATCACACAAAACCATTAGCTGCCTTATTAGACTATCATACCAAACCGGAATCATTTTATAATAGAGATTAGAGTAACCGGTTAACATGTTGTTAAACCGTGTATTGAGGTATAAATAGAAAATGACGTTGTAACAAACTCTTATGAAATCAATAACAATAATCTTCTTCTTCTTCTTCATTTTCTCTCTTTCTCAAGTGTTCGATCTCTGGATCTAATATAGTATCAGAGCTTCGTGCTCTTCTCTTCCGCTTCCTCGATTCGATTCAGCGTTCATTCTGAGCTTTTCTCTTTCGATTTCTTATTTTTCTCGATTTTGATTTCGATTTTGGTTTGTTCGTCATGACTCTTCTGCTTACATTGCCATTTTAGTGTATGTTGATGATATTTTGATATTGGGTAATAGTGATGATGCGGTTCTTGAGTTTAAGGATGTGTTGAAGGGTGCTTTTAAGCTTCTTGATATGGGTCCAGCGAAGTACTTTCTTGGCTTTGAGATTGCAAGGAATAATACTGCGATTTCTATTAATCAAAGAAAGTATACTCTTGAGTTACTTGAGGATGCTGGTTTGTTGGGTTGTAAACCAGTGAGTGTTCCTATGGATCCTACTTTGAAGTAGTCTGAAGCTGATGGTACTTTACTTCCTGATGCTTCAGTTTATCGACGTTTGGTTGGTCACCTCCTATATTTGACCCATACCAGGACTGATATTACATTTCCTGTTCACAAGCTCAGCCAGTACATGGCTCACCCGCGTGATACACATTTACAAGCAGCTAATCGAATGCTTCGTTTCTTGAAGAATGCACCTGGTCAGGGTCTTTTCTATTCTTCTTCTTCAAGTCACACTCTTACTGCTTTCTCTGATGCGGACTGGTCTGCATGTCCGGACACTAGAAGGTCTGTTACGGGTTACTGCATGTTCATTGGAGATTCTATGGTTTCATGGAGATCTAAGAAGCAGCCGACAGTCTCTAGAAGTAGTTCTGAAGCTGAGTACATGTCCATGGCCGACGCCACTTGTGAGTTAATATGGATTCATAATCTTCTTAATGATCTTCATTGATTACCTACTGGTCCAGCTACTCTGTACTGTGACAATCAATCAGCTCTGCATATTGCTTCTAATCATGTCTATCACGAGAGGACAAAACACATTGAGAATGACTGTCATCTTGTTCGTGCGAAGTTGCAGAGTGGGTTTCTGAAGACTCTCCATATTCAGTCATCTCACCAGCTTGCTGATGTATTTACAAAAGCTGTTCAACCTGGTTTGTTCACGTCGTTAATTGCCAAGATGGGATTACACAACTTGTATAATCCATCTTGAGGAGGGAGTATTAGACTATCATACCAAACCAGAATCATTTTATAATAGAGATTAGAGTAAACCGGTTAACATGTTGTTAAACCGTGTATTGAGATATAAATAGAAAATGACGTTGTAACAAACTCTTATGAAATCAATAACAATAATCTTCTTCTTCTACATTTTCTCTCTTGCTCAAGTGTTCGATCTCTGGATCAAATATGCCTTAGTTCATTTTATATTGATAATGATATTCGAGGTAATCAGGATCGGAGGATACGCCGAAGAGACTATGTGACAGGACAATGTCACCATCTCAGTTAAACCGTCTTGAAACCGGTTTACGTTTTCTTATTTTATGCATTTGTTTTATATATTTCTTATGTTGGATAATGATCCAACATGTTTTACGTTTAGGATCTTTGGTGTTTTATTTAAGGCATAGCCTTGAGTTTCATTAATAAGAGTAACGTTTTACAATCATCTCTTCCTCTTATTACTTTCTGTTCAAGCAACACAATTATCACCAACGATCTAAGGTTCTTCGAGCGATCCTTCTTCCTACATCTAGGTCTGTGCATCCCCTTCCTTCTAACCTACAAGCAAGGTTACTAGTTTGGAACTAATACTTGGGTATCCTATCTCACTGGTATCAGATACTAAACTCCTCAGGACCAAGCTATGGATACAAGGTCAACCACCGCTTTGAATGACATGAGCAAACAAATTGGCGAGCTGCGTTCATCACAAACGCAACAAATGCAATAATAGAGAAGTACTTCGCTCATACCCCACCACCTGTTAAACAACGTGAAGGGAAACAAGGCCAAGCAGAAAGCAGCTACGGACATTACTACTAGGGGATCACCTCAACCAGACCCACCAGACCGCTCAATCCAGACCAAAACCAACTGCCACCTCTAGCTAATGGACTATCATTTTGGCTGACAAAGTTGGGTTTTCGATGTTCGATGGTTCTGAACTCAGGGAATGGATATATCGTTGTGAGCAATTCTTTTCGTTGGAAACACCACAGAACATAACATAATGCAGTGGAAAAGATTGTTAAGTTTCGTACCACAAAAAAAAGCTAATCGACGTATAAAACCAACCAAACACAACATCCATGTACTAAGTTGAATGAAGATAAGCCTATGAATAGTCTTAGCCACCATAAATAATACACTTTTTTTTTTGGTCGAACCTTTCTTTCTTACTAAATTAAACATCCAATACAGAGTTTCTCATCCCAGAGGGAGAGTTAGAAAACAGAAAACAGAGAGTCTTTCGCAATGCGATCCGCAACGGAATTAATTACAATCACGAGAGATAAACTGAAAGGAGATAGAGTTTAGGGAACAAGTAAACACACTGATTTCGTGGATGATCCCTTTGAGTGACACCACAGAAGAAACTCCTGTGAGCAGGCCAACTAGACATTTGGAATCTGTAAAACAGACCACGTCCTTGAAACCCAATGAAATAGCCATAGAGATGCCTAATTTTAGTGACATCAAGGCCGAAGCTACAAACTGGCGAGCAGGTGATCCTTGGAAAGGGACTGTGCCATCTGAATCTGTCGCTATCCAACCTAAGCCACTGTCACCGAGGACCTGTTCCAAGCAGCATCCAAGAAACAGATTAGAGACTTAGAAGGTACCTGTGAGGGTTGGTGGTTTTGCGCCTCTTGCGCTGAAGCTAGAGAGTGTTTAGACGAAGTAGAGTTAATTCCGGGGCAAGGTAGAGCTGATTGTGCCATTCCTTTGCTAGTTTTATGGGCTTTTAGGATCATATCTGCTTCAGAGAAAGACTTATCTTCAAACTTAAATTTATTACGACTAGTCCACAACACCCACATAATCCAAGGATATAGAGGAGATGCTAGCCACACCGGTGGGAGATTTGTCATTCGAGTGCACTGATTCAATAAGACACTCAAGGACTGGCAGTTGTTTGTGTTGGGAACTAAATTGGCGGGGGCGATGCTCCATACCTTCCTAGCTATAGGACAAGAGAATATAACATGGAAGGTAGTTTCCAGCTCCTCACACCGTTTCCATTTACCATCCGAACTGATGC